TGGGAATGGCTCCTCTGCTCCAAACATGACAACTGTGTAGCTGCACACATCAAGTGTTTTGCTCCCAGTAGAGCAAGCACTCTCATTTTGCCTTTCCCTTGCTTACAGATGACAGAAGGATGCTAAGTATGAGATGGGAAACAATGCTAAGGATGTCTCAAAGGAAATTTGAGGACCCTGTTCTGGCAAGAAGGATGGCTCCATCCTGAAAGACAGCAGAGAAATGTCGTTATCTCCGAGTACTGCAGAGATCACTGTAATTACAGTTTCTACACAGCTACACAACTCATTGTAACTCCCTCCTTTCATATGCTCATAAATCTACAAGAAGAGTTCTTTTGAATTGCCATTTTCCATGCTGGGAGCCCAATCCCATTTCCAATGAAGTTCGCTTTGTGATCGTCTTCAAGGGAGCACAGTTTGGCTCCCAGCCCAAGGGAAATTTAAAAGAGTAAGTTACATCTTTAAATCAAAGAGGGCAAACACAAACAAAAGCGCTCTTTTACATCCCATGCTTTCCCAATGGGTTTTCCCTTGTGAAGTCAAGGCAAATAACTCCAAAACTGCTCAGCTTTGAAATCCTTGTCTGTAGAGTTTCAATCTTACCCCATTTAAAGCTTGCAATCAATTAGAGTTGATTTACCAGTCGGTTTATGAAGTTACATATATTTGGAAGTGCCATCTGGAGCAGAAGCAGCCACAAGCGTCCGCAAGGATGTGTACATATTCGGCTCCGTACGCGTTCAGCCTCACTTGTTAAACAGCACCAGCTGTCTATAGGGTAACGGATACCCATGAGCTACCGCACCGAGAAATCGTTTCTCTTCATTCAGTGAAACGAAGAACTTCACAAATTAAACATGCAGAACCCCAAGAGCTAAGCTATGGGATAGAGTTAAAGGGTTCAAGAGTAAAAATAATTAAAAGATGGTTAAGCAGTGAGGAAGCCTTCCAACTCTGGCATTAACTCGGCTGCACGGTACAGCGGCAGCGCATTCCCATTATTCACTTCAGAAAAACGAGAAGTTACGTAATTTGCTATGATCAACTGCATATATAGTGAGACCTATGAGCAATGC